AACGTCGCTGGATATGCTGTATTACATGGCGGCCGCTTTGTGGCTCTTGGTTCTTGTCTTATGCAGATTGCTAAGCATATTAAGTTCTCTCCTGAGCAGTCTTAAGCATGAGATTCAAAAATATATATTATATAATGAGTGAGCAAGTTGAGAAAATTACACGAGAGCCAGAAGTTGTTAAGAAGATAAAAGATCCTAAAAAGGTGGCTGCTGGTAAGAGGCTAGCTGAGTATCATAAGAAGGCTAAGAAGGCATTGGMGAAGGAAACAACACAAAAGTCTTGGATACCTGAAATATCTCTCACAACGGGTATATCTATTGTGAGCACTACAATAGCAGCTGTTAGTTTATACTATCAGTGGAAATCATCTAAAAGCGGCCCTAGAATAAGGAATAATATGCCAGAAGAAGAACCTGAGGAAATAGAGGTAGAGGAGCCTAAAAAGAAACCTAAAAGAAAAATCGGTATGGAACAAGATGATACTATACATTGAAGAAACTAAGCCGGAATTTACAATATATTTAGATCCGCCTGCGCATAATCCGGAAACTATTTCTTTGAATAGCGCTCGCATTGGAATTCCAGACAAGATGGAATTTCCTCCAGAAGCAATTCACATATATTGTGATTTAATAGCTAGTGAAGATGTTCGTTTAAATTCAAAAAGAACGCAGCTTTTGGGAATAATTCATAAGAAGAAAGTTAATGAAATGAGCATACCGGGCAGCAAATATAAAATTAAAACCAACGGAACTCATCGTGTTTATTCTATATTCTTTCGCATCACAGACGGCACAAAGYTATTACAGGTGGCTCCTGAGAAAATTCATTTGGAAATAGAAATATGTTAGTTATATATAGCATGAGTGAAAACAAACTAGTAAAATATTTAATAGACTTTGCGTCTGGAGTAGGACTTGGTTACGTAATTATTTACGGAGTTCGTTGGTTATTTGATACAGAACCAGATTATGATACAGATGATGATGATACAGAACCAGAGGATGTTCGTGAGAGAATTCATGTGGAAGTTAATATTTCTTAGATATAATGAGTGAAAACAAACTAGTGAAAATAGGAATAGGTTCGGCGGTGACAGTAGGAATTGCGAGTGGTATTGGTTGGCTAGGTAAAAAGATGCTAAAAGAAAATTTCATAAGTGATCCGAGCRCTTCTATAGCGAATTTCGGTAAATGGGTTCTGGTGCTTTCAGGAAGYTCCTACKTGAAAGACTATTTAGAGGATAAGGGTATTCTACCCAAATAATTTTTGTAATTATATATGGCATCGATAGCGATAATGATAGGCGGCGCGATTTTGAATGCAACGGCCTTTACAGGTTCAATGTACATTGCCAAATACCTCGACAAGCAGCATGCTGATAAAGAAAGAATTCGTCATGATAAGGCTATGGAAGAATAYGAAAAAGAAATGGGYGMWTGGMGAAAAAGACGACAGGAATACCAAGATTGGTTAGAATCAGAATATTTGAAGAAAAAGCAGGCTGATGAGAATTTGAATTCAACAGATCAAGCTCTTTCGCTTTATAAGAAGGCGCATCCGGACTTTGATTTAGAAGAACCGGAATTTCATTATACACCGTCGGCCAGTCAGAAGATATATGAGCTGGCATATGTAGCTGGCGGGATGGGATTAGTTGACTATGTAGCTAGCAAATTGTTGTAAATTTTTGATAAAAAAACAAGTGGGGTTTAATAACCCCAAATTTTTTCGTATTGTGATACGTCTATTCTTCTAAATATTTAAGAGCTTCTTTTGCAACCAAACCAACAGCTATCCACGTTAAGAAACCCTTACCACTTGCCCTTGGTTTTCTTTGGAACAGATTATTTAAAACTGCTTTTGCAGCTGCTCGGGCACACTCTCTCTCTCTTCTTCATCACGAATTTTCAACTCTTCTTCAAGCCTTATTTTACGTTTTTTAAGAGCTTCATCCCACATATCTTGGTAAATTTCTCTTTCTCTATCTAGATCGCTGTTCATTTCTTTTATATAAAGGAAATATTAAATACATAAAAAAGATCTCTATAAACTAGCGCATCCGGAATTTCATTATACACCGTCGGCCAGTCAGAAGAGATATGAGCTAGCAAATTGTTGTAAATTTTTGATAAAAAAAAACAAGCGGGGTTTAATAACCCCATTTTTTAGGCCTATATTGTGCGATATATATTTTAGATTCAAAAATTTAATCTAGATCCGCAACGTCAAAATCATAATATTGATTTCCTGACTTGGACATTCTCTTCCCCTTCGGCCTAACATGAGTATAAGTATCTTGCAAAAGCATCTCGCCAAGCCTTTTTGGCGCCCATACTGTGTATTGATATTCATCATCTTCTAGAACTACTTTAACTGCCGGGCCATGAATTGTAGAAACCTGATTAAATCTAATAATTTCATAAATAACGCCTTTCTCTAATTCACTCCATTTTTGAATTTCTTGCTCCTCGACGGCTTTATTAAATCTGCTTTCTAGTGTCATTATACATAAGATATATTATAAACATAATATGGCAGAATATCAACCACTACCTGATACGGATTTTGATCCAACTACAGAACAAGGCCGAGCTGATTTAGATCAAACAGTTGATGACGAGTTTGAGGATCTTGAGAAGCGCGAAGATGAATCACAAGAAGGATGGTTTAAAAGAATGGTTCGAAGGTTTGGTCGAAACACTAAATATGCTGTCAACCGCATGACTAAGATATTTGAAGAAAACTGTATATAACCACCACCTTATAGGGACACTCGTCTCTATTTCACTATACTTGTAGGGACCTCTGATTTTATGAGGACATGAATCATGTCCCTACAAAGTTATTTGCTTAAAAACGTAGGAGATGTCAGCAAATGCTATTTTTATCGAAAAAAACCATGTCCCCACAAGTGACTATTTATCTCAAGAAGGGCGTGGTCGTACTTTTTTGGTGTTTGTTACAGTTTTGTCTGGAAACTTAAAATCTCTTTCTTAAAATGTTTAATACACTTGATTGATTGCAAAAAGTGGAATAACGCTCTCAAAAACCTATTTTTCTTGAATATACAATTCAATGTTTTATTGGCGAACAAACACTTTGTGGGGACATTAAAATTTTTGTGAGGACATTAAAATTTCCTAAGCCAAAAAGTAATCTGTAGGAAGAATCTATGAATTTGAAAGAATATATCTATCAGATGTTGTTGATAACTGAGATTTAAATTTTGTAGTATGCACAAAATTGTGCACAAAAGTAATTTTCATAATGAATCAACAAGTTGGTGTCCATATCAGCCACACTTTATTCTTTCACAATACAATATACATTAAGTCTTAATAACAGATACTTCCAAGACCAAATACTCTATTAAATATAAAGTATGCCTAGTCATTTCCAAGGCTTGAAAGACCCAGACATATTTAATATTCAATTGAATTATCTCTGCATATATGTAACACAGAAACTGAGAAAACTATATTGAAACGAGCTTTGGACCACACTGATGCTCTCACACCTTGACAGCTCTTAGTCATAATACTAATTTACATACAACTAGAACCCAGACTTCTCGTTTCTCTCTTCATTCCATTCGCTTGCTCATTACATTACAAAAGAAATGCAGTTCTAAAGCAATAAGACAACTCGTCCAAAAGGAGTTTCTTTCTGTTTTCAGAGATTCA